TGTCAGTGCAGATTGTTATCTTTTTGCCAGAAATTCCTTTCTTGGTTATTTCTTTTGTGGCGATTGAGATACCAGCCAGTTCTGTTTGGACCACGCTGGTCCAAACAGATTGACTCTATGTTTTGCTTAATTTGTATTTTGTGGGGTTTATCAAACACAAACCTGGCTTGTTGCCTGCAGCAGAGGTTGCCCAGTAAGCGCTTCTCGCCATAGGCCCAGCCTCAATTGACCCCAATCCTAATTCGAAGTTTACACCAGCCGTGCGCAATCGTACCATGGCCATTAACGCAACCTCCTTAACGTACAAATCAAGAGGGGTCAGACCCGTGATTAATTCTTTTTCCGCGGTTGGAGTTTTTCTCATGGCTCCTGTGATGTTTAAATAAGCCAGTCGGTGTATTTGATATAATTTTTGGATGGCCGTTGCTTGTAGAACTCTCGGTCCCCATGCAATGGATCCATACGTTAACATAGGTCTTCTTATTGCAGTGTAGATCCAGGTGACCACACGGGGTGAAAAATCCCATGCGCGTCCCACTGTCCTCCGGCATTGCTCATAAGCCACGTATGCTCTTTTTGCTCTACTCTGTAGATGAGAGTTCCATGTTAGCTTCTTGTCGAGGATAGTATCAAGGTATTTTACCTCTTCAGAGAATTTTAGTTTGCTTTTGGAGATTTCGGGAGGTTTTGAGTCCGTTGAACTTCTTTTCCTGATGAAAAGGACAATCTCAGTCTTCTTGGGATTGTATTCACCTGTTAATCTTACTGTTAGAAAAAATGAGACAATTAGGTAATTACCAATCATTCCTACCCCATTGTTGCTGAAAATGACTTCGTTTTATAACGTGAGGATTTTCGTATACTCAAAAATGGTCATTGTAAAAAGTCATAATAACATCTCTCGTCCGTAACTGAAATATTTGGTGAAAAATTATTATTGTGTGCCATCGTATGAATCAACCACCTGCAAAACATTAATCTTGGGTGAAAATCCCGAGGCAATTGAGCTTGGACCCGTTGTATGTGATATGGGTATAGGAGTTTTTTTAGAACTGGTAATACAGTTTTTGGGCTAACTTCCAGCTGCAGTGGTATTATTTGAAAGATCTTCTTCTATCCCATCAAGTATCGCTACATCTAGTTCAGGCGTTGTTACAGTTTGTGATCTTTCATCACCTGCGTTTTCATTAGAACTCCCAGCGCATTCATCAGCTTTATCATTACTTGTGATTCCTGAATGCCCTGGCACCCAGTACAAAGTTAATTTGTTCTTGTTTGCAAGTTCATTCAGTTCTTCATGGCATTCCCAGACCAGTTTTTATGTCACCTTCGGGTTTGTTAGAGCGCCTAGTGCGCTCTTGCTGTCTGTTGAAATATTGATCCGCTCATTTCTTTGAGGTCTCAATTTAATTAGCCTTGCACGCTGCATACACTTCCGCCTGGAAGACGGATGTGTATAGTCCTAGCGTGAATAGTCCTAGATGTGTATAGTTCAGCGTTAGTAAAATCATTCATGATGGAATCACTGCTAATTGACAACTCTGACTTGCACTGATATGACAACACCACCATCATTCTCAGCTGGTCTCCAAAGTAAAATGCAACTGCAAAGTGGCTTCAATTTTTTTTTCTCGAAAACGAAGCTAGATATAGACACAAGTAACTTCACCAATCATTCCTACCCCATTGTTGCTGAAAATAACTTCGTCTTATAACGTGAAAATAACTTCGTCTTATAACGTGGGGATTTTCGTAGACTCAAAAATGGTCATTGTAAAAAGTCATAATAACATCTCGTGAAGAATTTGCTTCGTCCGTAAATAAAATATTTGGTGAAAAATTATTATTGTGTGCCATCGTATGAATCAACCACCTGCAAAACATTAATCTTGGGTGAAAATCCCGAGGCAATAGAGCTTGGACCCGTTGTATGTCATATGGGTGTAGGTGTTTTCTTAGAACTGCTAATACAGTTTTTGGGCTAACTTCCAGCTGCAGTGCTATCTAAATGGTACTATTTGAAAGATCTTCTTCTATTCCATTAATTATCGCTACATCTAGTTCAGGCGTTGTTACAGTTTGTGATCTTTCATCACCTGCGTTTTCATTAAAACTCCCATCGCATTCATCAGCTGTATCATTACCTGTGATTCCTGAATGCTCTGGCACCCAGTATAAAGTTAATTTTTTTCTGTTTGCAAGTTCATTCAGTTCTTCATGGCATTTCCAGACAAGTTTTTATGTCACCTTCGGGTTTGTTAGAGCCCCTAGTGCGCTCTTGCTGTCTGTTGAAATATTGATCCGCTCATTTCTTTGAGGTCTCAATTTAATAAGCCTTGCACGCTGCATACACTTCCGCCTGAAAGAAGGATGTGTATAGTCCTAGCGTGAATAGTCCTAGATGTGTATAGTTCAGCGTTGGTAAAATCATTCATGATGGAATCACTGCTAATTGACAACTCTGACTTGCACTGATATGACAACACCATCATCATTCTCAGCTGGTCTCCAAAGCAAAATGCAACTGCAAAGTGGCTTCAATTTTTTTTTCTCGAAAACGAAGCTAGATATAGACACAAGTAACAAAAAAAATTTGAATTTTCAGTGATTATTCTAAAAGGAAACTACAACAAGTCAGTGACACCTTTTTATTTTCAATATTGTTAGCTGTGGTGCTCACTGAGACTCCACTGGACCTACCAATTCCAATCTAGTTAGGGCTGAATGAGCGCCTTATTATTTTTAGTAACTGTAGCAAATTTTAACCAAATCGGTTTGGGGATGATATTTTATAACCTTTTTTTTCGAATTTCAACGCCCTGTATTTCAGAAACTAAGCAACTGCCGACATATGTTAATGAAAACTTTTTTCTCAAACTGTTCTAACGAATCAATTCCGTACCGTAGTTAGGAAACACTCTGTATATTACACTGTCGGTATCATGACAGTTCCTCAGTATAAAATAACTTTCGAACCTCGTATACTGTTTGAATGAAATTAATGTGAATTGCAGAGATAAATTTACTCATCTGTACAATTGAATAATTGGAAGGTATCACATTATAAATATCGAGTGTGATGTCTACGAGAATGTCGTCGCGATATGTTGGATACTGATGAAATGGAAACCAATGGCTTGAAAGTCGGGAAAATTCAACCTACTATTGAAGTATATCGCAAAAGATGGATTATTTTGATAATTTATATTTTGTGTAGTTGTTTGAGTACAGCTCAATGGATCGAATATTCAATTATAAACAATGTAGTTATGAAATATTACCATGTTAGTGCTACCACGGTGGACTGGACATCGATGTCTTTCAGTATAATGTGGCCAATATTAGTATTTCCTGTATCTTATATAACCGATAAAATGGTGAGTGACAAAATATTTTTATCATTCCTTCCTTCGCATATTCATCTAATATTATCACTGATATCACTGATAAAATGAACTATACTTCGGTGCCAATCATCGTATTCCAAATGATGAAGAGTACCTATTTGGAGTCGATATGAAATTATGTCTCAATCTCAAATATGTAACTCATTCACAATAATTAGTTTATTGAAAGGGTTATATTTTTAGGAATGATTAACTTTTGGAAAAGAAAGTTTTTGGAGTAGTAGAAAGCCGAAAACTTTCTCAATAAGTTTATTAGCTGAACTTTTAGGTTTAATACATTTGGATGTGCAAAAAAGTGGATGGATGAGATGGTCATATATTATCAATTGATGAGACTTTCAGTTGCACCAAAAATGTTTCTGGTTATAAACCGAAGAAATATCACATATTCCATCTGCCTGTTTGAAAGTTCGTTTGAACTCCCAAAATTTTCAAACCCAATCGACATCACTGGCAAATTTCATTTAAAATAAAGAAAAAGAAAGGAAAATATATTCTAGTAGATAATAAATATATTTCAGAGGGAAAATTCGATATGAGAAATCAACATACAATTTTTGTACGATTTCTGTTTCTCATATCACACAAAAGTCACTTTTTTACATATACGATTTTATAGGGATATGATTCGATTGCTTATGAAACCGGTTCACCTCATTACTATTTCATAGTAATGTCGTTCATTATACCCTATGTAGATACCTGAATAAGAAAATTGAATTTCCTTTCATAGACAGAATTCCAGAATAACTTGTATGGCATTAATACAGTCATGAACTTTGTAATACTAGTTGCTACCCGCGTAGAATTTGGTTTGTCACATTGAGTTTGGTGACAAACCTTTCAAAACAAATAGTTACAATATTTTTCATCGACCCAAAATTTCAGGTTTCCAACTTCAAAACTGACGAAATTGAATACAATCTGTAAACCCTCCTTGAGGGTGGAAATTCCTGATTCCCTTTCTTGATGCTCATTTACGCTATACAAAGAACCTACCTGCATATTTCAAGATTCTGAGTTTAGCAGTTTCGGCTGTATGTTGTAACGTTGATATAAGAGTGTCAGTGAATCAATAGGTACCCACTTATAAAATACTAGCTGTTCCCCGCTGTTTTACCCGCGTTACCGTCAGTTTTGAAGTTGGAAACCTGAAGTTTAGTTGATAAAGAATATTGTTACTATTTGTTTGAAATGGTCTGTCACGAAACTTAATGTGACAAACCTAATTCTACGCAGGCGAAGCCTAATTGTATTTATGGCTCAGTATTTTGCATATAGTGCTTACTACATTAAAGGCAGATATCTGCTATAAACAATCTTACGGTGCATTTTCTTCATGTAACTCTAACGGTATAGGCAGCGCATGCCACGATAGCTCTCAGGAAACAAGAACTATTTCGACCTACTCAATACTTATCGTTACATTATGACCAAAATTACACAAAACCTTTATAAATTGTAATCTACATATTATACTGAAGTTTAAGATGTATTTATGAAAAGTTTCATCTAAATCCATCCAGTCGTTTAGACGTGAGGGAGCCACAAACATACATGTATCCATCTTCACAAACTTTCACATTTATAATATTAGTATGGATTTTATGCTTTCAAAACAAATTCTATTTGGGTAGAAAATGAACGTATCAGTCGTAACCTTTCCTCTCTCCAAGTTTTAGCGTATTCACTTATTTTCTTCCATATCATCAGTTTCAGGATGCTTGTCTTGTAGGTTGTTTGATAGCAAAGAACAAAAAAAGCTCAAAATCTGAAGGAACATTCGAGCGAAGAAAACGAAAAACCATTCAGTATTTGATTTTTTTGTATTTAATTTTCATTGTGATATATAATTTATGCATAGCTTACATTCCTTATTGATTTTGTTTCAAATTCAAATGTAGAAACTGTATACTTACATTTTTGCAATATAGAATTTTTTGATTCATGAATGTGACTGGAATATATTAATTCAATGGAATATTGAAATATTCATGAAACGTTTGCCTGACATTGAACTCATACAATAATATCATTTAGGTTTGCAATGGAATGCAATATAATCGCATCAATTACCAAGGTTATTAGCGGTGTAGTACAATTTTAATCACATTACAGTCATATTAGATGTGTATTATTTATAGATATCAGATACTTTAGAAAAATCTCAAATTTAGGCATCACTGAGTTCTTCAGGTAGTCTTGACAATCTCTCATCTCTGTAGTCAGGACACACCTCGATGCTATGTTTCACATCTAATTCTTCATCACTGGAAATACATCTTTTGGGGTTTTCTTTCTTCGGTAGATGCTGGTGGGTATACCTTTTGTGGCCAATCCTGAATTGTCTGATGTTTTCGAGAGAGTGACAGGTAATTTTGGAAGTTTAAGCTAGGATTGATTGTTAGCTTGTTATTTTCCAGAGCTTGCCACCTTTCTTTCCATGTATTTACTGTTAATTGTCGTATTTTATGGATCAAATTTTCATGTGGTACACAGCGAATCGATAGACTGTGTGGGTTTTAGCTACTTTTCATAAACTTTGGTTCTGATAATTTTTAAAAACTAGTGTTTTTAGTTTTTCAATTTCATTTTCACAAATTTGAAAAAGAAACCTTGCAATTGTTTCTGACACATCATCTTTTGATATTGATGCATCATTTAAAATGTACGGCATCATGATTTTTGATATAGTTTTGTTAGCGTTATGAAATGTGAAAACCCTGTACAGTTTTGAATGACTTTTGAACAACTACCATTCAAATGGAAGTATTTAAAATAACAATATTTATTCTTTCTCTTGACAATTGTAAATTCAACCTTTCTTCGAAAAAAATTTACCCAAATTTTTTGAACGGCTTTGGTTTTATTAAAGTTTTCAGACTTCAAATAATATCTTGTTGTCGATGCCCAAGAATAAATGACCTTGAGCCCTTATTCTATGATAAGGGGTTGATCTTACATTTACCTCTGCATGAACCGATTAATTACGTCATGTCGACAAAATTAATTTCACAAAAATCGTTCAGCAACTCATAACCTTCGATATCGAAATCAATTTTTTTTAAATGAAAACTTTTTCTTTCATTGTCCTATTCTTCTTTCATGGACTTGGTTAGAAATAATTCCAATCATTGATATCACAATTCATAAAAGCCGTACAAGCAAATATTTCCTCACTTGGGATATTGTTTTTTCCCGTGCTCACCAACAACTGACAGCACGAGGTTGAAACTTATTTTCTACTACGGTCGGTAGCCTGTCGGTTCGACGTGAGTGCTTTGTTCACTCAGTCATTCGGCCGATGTGTGAGTCGATGGTTCAAGTCCCAGGCTGAACGCTCGATTTTCACTTGCCATCGTCCAACACGTGTTAGGAGTCACACATTAAAAGGTAAGACCTCGTTAGTCCTTAGCTCGCACGAGTTTCGACTTCTGAAGGTTGTCGTACGTAGGGGTGCGACAGCTGGTTAGCGCAAAAACATATTTTAAACATATTTTGAACTTCAGGATTTGCAATCTATAAACAATGTAAGTATTTTCATTGCCATTCTCGGGAAAATTTCAATCATCACTATTTCAGTGTATATCTCCTAGATGCTTAGCAATATCATCCTAGCACTACTGTTGGGACCAATAGCAGGTCGGTAAGCTCTGACTGATGTTAAATCACGAGTGCTTTGTTTTCGGGGTCTGGTTTTTACAAACAAATTTTAGTTTTTGCTATGTCTTTCAGATCACTGAAGATTTCGAAAATTAACAAATTGCAAACAGGCAAGCTCATAATTTCTTTCAACAATAATGATTCTGGAAATATTGAAATAAAAAATAAAAATGAATTTGTAATATTGGCAAGAATATTGAAATTGCAACAAACAACGTGAAGAATCCACGCTCATTCTAGAGAAACATGATGTGGAAAATCTCCACACTAACTAAGTTGTCAATAGGGAGTGTTGAAAAATGCATATCGAATCAAAACGTGCATGTTTCGGTTCTCCCATAATATGTTGATGATGAAAGTAGATTAATTTCGCAACAGTGTAAAACTGAAATAGTTCTGAAATGGATAGGATTAACGAACATCACCGAGAAAATTACTAATTCGTTCGTGTGTTTGTTGGTTCAGTGTAGAAAATAGTAGTTCGTAAGAGGAAATGCAGTAAAAGTTTTTCTATTGTGGAATTAAAGAGTTTTGAGGTTGGAATAAGCTGCTTTTGAGAGGAATCAACTACTCAAAACCTGCTTGTGCCGCTGATGGAAAGCCGATTGTAAATTTCAATCCAACGGAAAAAATTAACATAAATGTAGTCTGGCTACCAGCACTCAACAATAAAATTGTTTTAATATCATTATCGCCGGCCTCGAAAGTTATTTTTTTAGTCCGGTCAATTTAGACAATCGAAGCCACCTTAATTCACACCAAGCTGAAAATCAGTGAGATTGTTTGATATATGATTGAAAATAAAATTTAACCTGTATGGAAAAAAAATTATTAAAGGTCAAAGGTCAAAAAAATTAGTTTTTCAGCAAAACGGTAGGTTCTATCATAAAAATACTTGGGATAAAAATTGGAGACCATGAAATTATCTACAAAAAATGTAACAATATTTTTTTCCTACGACCCACCGTTTTTGAGATATAACGATTCAAAGTTGTAAAAAAAGTAATCGTCGTAATATGCCTGAGTACGCCACGTATACATATTCATCTCTGTAGTTATAATATATGTTAAAATATTTTATCTATGACTTGTACCTTGAAAGTTCATGTAGAAAAAGTGCCTGTTGATCCTAATATGATATGATAAAACTTACTGAAAATAGCGAAAAACTAATTTTTTTGACCTTTGACTTTGAATAAATTTTTTTCCATACAGGAAAAAGATGGGGAACTTTCAAATTTTATTTTTAATCATATTTTGAACAATCTTACTGATTTTCAGCTTGGTGGGAATTTAGGTAGCGTTTCTCTTATTATTTGATATAATTTGACCGGTATATTTATATTCATTCTGTGTTGGAGTGGAGAATATCACTGGATGAGGAATAATGAAGATGCTTACAGTTTTCCTGAACAAACTGGTGTTTGATTATTCCAGTTTTTCTCCAATATCTCTTGAAATATTGAATTCATAAAAAAATATGAGTTATTTGTAGTACTTTCGAATATGAACATAATTCACACAACCATCTTGAAATCTTAGATCATAACGTGATCTTATCGTTACCTGTAGTTGATGTTCGATTGATAATGGAACAATGTTGCATATTCGTTACGCCATGTTACCAAAGGAATAATAACATGAATATGAAGTAAAAATTTTCATTTTCAAATATGACAGAGTGAAATCATTCTCTTATTACCTGAAGATGCTGATATCTTATGTTTAATTGTTCATTGAATTGATATAAAAACAAATAAATTAGGAATACGCACGTGTCTACAATAATAGAACGTGCCGGAGAATCACGAAATTAATTATCATTACTAATTGACTAATGACTAATCGTAAATTTTTATTACTTTCATATTATAATTTGTAATGTTATCGATATCTAATGAGATAAATCAGAGACACAAAATAGGTTCTTAAATTTTTTGTGGGCATGGAAATCTATGAACATAAGAGGTGACTCTAAAATGTTCACCCTTCACGAAATTTGTTGAAAACGTATTTTTGGGAGTGTGTAGTTGTCAAAAAACATATCTCATCAGACCTGAAAACATTTATAAATGAAAATGTTTATATAAACTATTCTTCTCAACTTTCAGGAACTATTTCCATGAAAAATCTGCACTTGTTGAGCGAGTGCGTCTTTGAAATAATTCAACAGCTGGGATCTGTCAATTAGATTTGAATGTCTGACGAATATTTCATACTAACGATCCGCCCGGCTTCTCACGGGTCAATGCTGATACTGAATATGAATTCACCCACCTTAAATTTGAGGGTATCATGAAGAAACAGTGATGAAAAGATAATTTCCCCCGTGGCAGGCGCACTAGTTGGAATATTCAAAACACCTTTCTCATCGCACATTTACAATATGAAACGAGCCTTCATACAAAATTTCAGCCTCCGGAAAGATACCGGTATGAAGAAACAGTGATGAAAATCAACTTCATTTCATGAAAGCATTTTTTCCCCAGCGGCTGGCTTCTCAGTTGGAATTTTTAAAAATTCTTCCTTACTGCACATCTACAGTATAAAACGAACCTACATGCAAAATATTAGCCTTCGAAAATATACCGGTATGACGAAAATGTAGCTTTATTTAATGAAAGTGCCTCTTTCCTCGCATCTGGCTGTTATTCCTTTTCCCTGTTTTGCCTTTTTACAAAAGAGAAAAAATGGCAAAGTATCTCCGGCAGCTGTTCGTCGGCGGCATATGGGAGTGGATTGATTACTGCGATTCTGTTAAATGAAATAAGGATACAATAACGGCGCCACTGTCTTTTTAATTAGGTCTTATTTGGAAAAGATCAGATACCTGAGGTAGAGAGTAGATACAACAGCTGAAATAAAAGAAAGAGATACTCAATTGCATATTATTTAATGAGATAAATATTAAGTCGTGCGGTACTATTATGCAATTATAACAAAGCATACGATCATATATATTGAACCTTCTCAAGCCTGCTTGACGGATAACTTGCTGATACCAGTATATATAAATATATAAGAAAAAGCCTGTACCCAGGGCAAAATTCATTAATTTTTCCTAATGGGAAATAAGATGTTTTTGTAAGTTATGTTACCTCAAAAGGGCTTGAATATTGATGATATAGCAAATGTATATAAATAGTTATGAATGGTTTGTTTGAATGGTTAAATATAAAAAATTGAATAATGGAAGTAAGAACTTAAATATTAAATCAAAACTATAATACTGAAAGAACTCTATCATCCATAACTGGCCTTTCATCCAACGTTGATTCTAAAGAAGTATCAACCGTAGAAGCAGATGGGGTCCTCGAGCAGTAAGAAAGGAGGAGTGGTTGTATTTTTTCTTTTCGTCTCATCACTCGCTAGAAATTGATAAATCCGAACTATGGTAGAAAATACCTCTGTTTGAGTCAAAGAGGACATTCAAATGAATAAATGGAGCTAAATCAGTGAATAGAAATACTCTTGTGGCCCTGGTTAACGTTTCCAAATCCTTCGGGATGCAGGATTAGGTTGAGAAAATTTTTCGTAGGAAAGAAGAACCCTCTGGTACCAAGAGGGTTCTCTTCTGCAAATGAATCGACAACTAGATTCTCCGAAAGACAATATTTTTAATATCAAACACAAAAGGGTACTGCCATTATACATCACATAAATGATTCGCTTTTAAATAAAAGGGATCGGTACTCCCTGAATTCACCTTGTCGACTCTTGTCGTTCTCAGAAATAATTCTGTCAAATTTGTGGGATCTTCATAGAGTTCACACTCTAGAGACTATCGGAAATGAACGAAGTCTAACAGTTTATTAGAAGAAAAGAGAGATGGGATGCGGAAAGGTAAATTTGTCAACAAAGAATATCATTTGCGAGGGTATAGGTGCTCCTTGACAATTTACCAATATACGGCTTTCAAAATTAACGTTGAACGACTCAGCTCAAGATTATTCCAATAACTATATACAACATTTACGGTTATTTACATGTGCGTGGACACTGTACATGTGTACATGGGAGGTAGGTTGATACGTTTTTATAAGACTGGGTGGTTTAGGAAGACCAGTTGGTAAATATATTACTATCTTTTGCAGTTCCTAAACTGGAGTAATGTACAGGGTGAAACATTGATCACCTTTAAACAAAAAATATACGCAGTTAGTGAAAACGAAAACGTTACATAGCTCCCCAGTTGGAATATCTGAAAATCCTTTTTTATTGTATATCAACAACATAAAACGAACTCACATACAAAATGTCAGCCTAAAAAAAAATAGCGGTACGAAGAAACAGTGATAAAAAGTTTATTTTTATATGTGAACGCTCCCCTTCTACCCCCACGGGGGTTGCCCCAGTTGAAAAATTTGAAAATCTGCGTATCAAAGACCTTGGAAACGACTACATACAAAATTTCAGTCAACGAAAATATAGCAGTGATGAAAATGTCATTTTCATATGAAAATGCGCCCCTTTTTCCCCCACGGGGGCGCCCCGATTGGGATATTAAAAAATTCTTTCCAATTACGCATCTAAGACCTAAGAAGCACCTGTGTACCAATCTTCAGCTTCCTAGGTCCTACCAGTACGGAGAAACAGAGATGAATGAGTACGCAGAGGGAAGTATGAGCATGAAATGAATGATTCAGGGTGCAAACCTTTTTGGTGATGCATCTCTTTCTACGTCTTCACGTTGACCTGGCGATTTTACTTTCGAGTCAACTTCATTACTTCAAAAGAGGTGTGGATGAGAAAGATGTTTGCAGTACATTTGTTCATCATCGGTAATTTTGACAACTAGGTCTGTCAAAGTTTGTGCTGGTAATATTTAATGTGGAATTAGATACTTTTTTCATGCCACTCTGCAGAATGTGGTCATTGCGAATTCTTTCTTCTCTCCTACGTCATCTTCCTTCATTCCCTTCCCAATTCTATTCGATTGCATTGGTGTATCCTAATTATTGTTTTGATTTTTCAGGGTTTGAGAGCTGCAGTTTTGATTGGTATTTTGCTTACAGCACTTGGCGCAGGTGTGAAGGTCTTATCTGTTGGTGAAAACTTGTTTTATGTTGTTCTACTTGGACAGGTGATTGTTTCTATCTCTCAAATATTCCTGTTGAATCTGCCACCAAAACTAAGTGCGGTGTGGTTCAAACCTGAAGAGGTAAGGTATTTTAGGTAGTTTAGTTATTTGATAATTCGTAAATATGCTTTCTGAATCTAATTCCAATGATACATGGTTACTCAGTCAATTTATTCATTGCATGAAATAATAGACTGAGAGGAGGAATCCAAGTTTCTTGAAATCTTCTGAGTTGTGTTCGAAAATTAGAAAATCTGTCATTTTACCTCATGAATCTAGAATAACCTTCATGTAAAGTTTTTGTAGCAGACAAAATTGACAAATAATCGATAAGATGGATATATTGAGAAGGAAACTTTTATTTTCATGACTGATTAGATTACTCGAGGAAATCATTTGGTTTTCTATTTCATCAACATATAAAAGTGGTGATTTTTCAAAAGTAGGAACTTTATAAAGTGTAGATCATAAACAGAAGTTCTCCTGAAACAACTCTTGCTGCGAATGAAATTCATTTCAATTCTATAAGGATGGTTTGGAGTAAACACACGAAAAAATATTTTTGTTGTATTGACATTTTCAAAATTTCACCCTTCCCTTATTTTTTTCGTTTCTGTATTATCGAGGTATATTGCGAACTGAAGTAGAGAAGTTTTTTCTAAGATAATAGTGAAATAGCAGAGTTTATAAATTTCAAAATTGTAACTAATTTCCAATTGTAGATATCAACAGTGTGTTCTCTGGGCATACTTGGTATGACTTCGGGAACAGCAATCAGTTACTTCATTCCTCCGATCATGGTACGCGATAGCGACAATCTGGATGAGATTGCTGAAGATCTCAGAGTGATGTGTTGGGGTGTATTCCTTCTTTCAATACCGTTAGTCCTCATCGTATTCTTTTGTGAGTATAAAAGTTTTCAATTATCGAAAATATGATAAATAGAAACGATGATTATATTTTGTGATGATTTTTTGTGAACTTTCCGTATCTTCAAAAGGATTTATAATTGAAATTATGGTATTCATAATAATTATTATCATGCAAATCCATTGAGAGCTGTCAGAAGGATTCATTCTACTTAGTGTCAGTTCAAATTTTTCCTGAAAGGCTTAAACTAATTCATGAATATCAATTCTAATTGAAAATGATAATCCAGGAAAACAGGCTATAATACCTACCAAGATACATGATTCAAAGGATGTTTTTTGTATTTATATCCATGGAGCTATCCGAAGTTTTATTATTGATCCTTTGGCTAACCCCTTGAAAAAGGTATCAGTCGAAGAGATAATTATATTGTACATGTATATGTATTGAAAATGAAAGACATTTCAATCGATCTACTGAGATTACTGAGAAATATTATTTTTGAAATACATGTATTTAAATACTTCATATTTTGTCAATTGCTCTTTTGGGAATATTGTGAAAGATAGGAAAATGATCTTTGATGTGAATCCAGAGGAATTTATCATTTTCCAATCATTGGCAATTCTCAGAACACTAATATATTCACAAAATAAACATGAGATATTACTTTTTGAAGGTTTCTGTTTAAATCTGTTTTTCCGTTAATCAGCTGTCGCCCCCATATGAACGGCAACTCTCAGAAGTTGAGAAACTTGTGCGAGCTAAGGACTAACGAGGTCTTACCTTTTAACGTGTGATTCCTAACACGTGATTCCTAACTCTATTTTGATAGAGTCAATTAATAATTAATTATTCGTTATAAAATGATTTTATTCATCGGAAAACATAATTAATATTAAAGTTTGAACAATTAGTTCCAACATAAATTCACGAAGATGTTCCGTGTTGCTGCTGACCAGAAACGTTAGATATTCCTTGAAGAGTCGATTCCACAATTTTATAAGATATTTTAATTCGTTAGGAAAATCTCAATTTTTTCATTCAAACTATCTTCTGAATATGCTTCTTCTACAAAGGCAGATTTCCACTCTCATGTGCCTTCAAAACACACTCATTTTACGCACTTAATACAAAAATAAGTATTATCATTCCTTTCATGTACCATTGTATTTGTACCTTTCACGAAATTGGTCAATGTATACTTATCAATATACGAAGGTATAGTATTTCCAATACCAATTGGAACAGCACAGAGAAGGAACTCCCGCCTCGACATAGGCCACGGCATATTATTTTTCAGTGGTAGTTTTTCAGTTACTTATTCTTACAATCATAGCAATTGATCACCCTATGAAAAAGTTATCTCAACTGAATTTTTCCATCATGGGTAATTATGAAAAACTTCGAAATTTAAGGTAGTTGATTTCCGAGTCGAAAACTCTGAAATACTTACAATGTAAACACAAATAATCACACCGAATTCTCGTCAAACATATATTTACAAAATAATAGAGGTCAACAAAATTGCTAGAAAAATCAAAATTCTTTTTCGCTTCATTCGGATGAGGTGGAATCATCATCGGGTTGAATGACGAACGGATTTATGGAACTTTGCACATAATATTTTATATACCATAAATTGTTCGCCGAATCCCATTTTTTGTACACCATCAACGTTTGCGAATTTTTTATTCCTTTGTGTTCGTTTCATTGCATGGTCAATGACATCCCCTATTTTAATGACTCGAAGAACTGTCGAACGAGATAGTTTCGTTAACTCGCATATTCTATTCACAATAGCATTCTTCAAGCTTTTATGAATATTTAAAATTTCGGATCCCTGTAGATTGACACAGATTCCTCATTTCTTTCAAAAGGTCTCCAGAAAGCCATATTGATGAAAGTACCCAAAAATACTAAGATTTTCACAAAAATTGGTTTAAACTATGAGATTGGAACCTTTGGTGTAGAAGTTGAAAACTTTTTCTAGAACTCAATTACCCTAACACCAAACTGATATCTTTGCACTCGACGCGCGTTTCGCTAACAAGGTTAGCATCTTCAGGAGAAGCAAATTGATACTGAATCTAAAGACAAGGGTTAGCTGTTTATATACCTAATCGGACCAAAGTCCGATTAGGACTTTGTTTGTTAAATGATAATTATCCTAATTAATTTTTCAGTAATTAACTAGTGGAACTACTACCTGCAAATTAATTTGTCCGCTTTTTAATCTATTGTTGACGAATTAATTTGCAGGTAGTGGTTCCACTAGTTAATTACCAAAAAATCAATTAGGATAATCATGATTTAACAAACAAAGTCCACATCGGACCAAAAAACTTTAGGTATATAAACAGGTTACCGTTGTCTTTATATTCAGTATCAATTTGCTTCTCCTGAAGATGCTAACCTTGTAAATGAAACGCGCGTCGAGTGCAAAAATATCATTTTGGTGTTAGGGTAATTGATCTCTAGAAAAAGTTTTCAAAAATCGGTTTGCAAAACTACTCACTATACCTCACCTAACCCCACGAACACACGGCACTGATAAAGAAATATTGTGAAACGGACAAAAAATTTGTATTCAGCCAGTCCAGCTAACCGAGCCTTTATTCCTCAATTACATTATTTGATAGCACGTTTACTAACTATGTGGGCGACTAGGGGCCGCAGGCATGAAATGTTTATGACTGTACCAGGGACGCTTTGAACATAAAAGCACTGGTAGTATATATATTTTCCATTTGCCGGGCAGTGATTATGATTACCTCTCGTAGTGCTCTTATTTTTATTGCCATTCCAATTGGGAATGGATAGACTATAATAATCCCTCCGAGGATGAATTTTTCAATATGAACTTATGCTATGGAACAAACTAAAAATATATTAATATCAGTTGGGAGAATTGAAGAATACCTTAGACTGAATCAGAATCTTCCTCCTTAGAGGTTTCTGATTGATATTTCAACAAAGATATTTGTTTTTTTCGACAATGTGCTTGTATGTGTTTCAGTGCCTGACAACTAGTTATAGGTGACATCATTTTTACAGTAATTGATGGTTTTTGATGTAAGAGTAAAACTAAAAATATATGACAATTATTGTATTGACTTATTGATTATTATCGCTACTATTTTGCAGTGACATTGACAAGATATTCTTCAAATTCATGTCACCAGTTTGTTCCTTCATTATTTTCTATTTTTATTTTAGATTTTCCAGAACGACCTTTGAATCCACCAAGTATGGCAATGTTTGAAGAAAGAAATAACAGAAACGAAGTAACTATTTTCCTGTTCGCGAAATCATTTGAACTTCTGATGAAAAATAAAGCCTTCCACGTTCACAACGTAGCATTTGGATGTAACTTGGGAATATATACAGCTATTGGAACATTTCTGAATCAATTTGTATTGAGTTACTTTCCAGTAAGTTACAATTCATTATATTACATTACATCAATTACAAATTCTAAGTTCCTTTATTATCAAAAGAATCGCAGTCATTTGATCAACATGCTTGCTGCCACATCTTCAGTTATTTTTGTTTCAAACTAGAAAGTATAAAAAATAACAACCAGAGCCTGCTACTACTTACTACATGACGGAAACAATTGATTTATTTAAATTGGTCCAATCGTCCTTGTTGAATCCATCAGTTCATTGTTGCCCAAAAATAATTATCAATGACTCAATAAACAAAACGATTTCAAACCGGTCATTATTAAGCCATTTGGTTAAACCTAATTGTCTATTGAGGTCCAGTTTGATCTTTATGAAATTGGGAAAGGATGTGATGAAAATAGTTCAACTTAGTGGATCAGGACTGGTCAAAATTCTGTTCGTTGTGTATGAATGGGGAATGTTNCTTTGGCATCGGAGGATCAGTCTTAACTGGTATCTTTCTCGATAAAACACATAGGTTCAAGTTGAGTATTATTTTTGTTATAGGATACTTTCGTTGATCATCCGGTTGATGATAAAAATCCATTTGAGTTTTTTATTGTGAAAGTGACTATTTCAGTAAGTATTGCTGAATTTGCATCATCTTTACAAACCTCAATCGTTTGATTCTGCCTGAAAATGAAATAGTAAGAACAATTATATGAAAGCAGTGAACAATAATAACACAATTGATTGTTGAAAAAATTATATCCATATTGAAAATCTTCAAAATGTAGAAATACTTGACTGATAAACGAAATTGCTGTTGAAGAGATTGACAGATTCACTTGAGAAATATAGCTTGTTGTTGCAAAGATTGACTTGTGATTTGAGTGTGCTGAATCTACTATAACTAGTACACGTAGTACCCAAAATGAAGAATATTGACAAAATTAGGCGGTATTCATATGGATTGAACTAGCGAATTGGTTGTTGAAAATGATTCTGAAACTTGCTTGGGATCGAAATTCGAACGCCTAGATCTTTTTCAGACGTTGCCAGTAGAGAAGGTTGGTTAGCTCAAATATTTTTATTGGAAGATTTTCCTGAATGGTAAGAAATTAGGATATTCTAGGATATTCGAACAAACTTTTTCGACAGGTAACGTTTTTTTCTAGATTATGGTATTCACTTCATACCTCGTATGAGATTACTCGTATTAACAGATCAGATCAGACAACTCAGCATCATGCAATAAGGAGTCATCACGCCTGTCGGAATGGTCGATATAACGAATATCAAGTCATTATCAAGTATCCCTATGAATAATTTGGATTAGTTCTTTAAAATACGCCTAATTTTGGCCCAATGTTTCGCTTAGGTATATCCTGATCTGCAGGAACGGATTTGTAGTAGATAGTGCTGAAAATAAAGTCAGTCTGTTATATTCCATACTAAAACACTTTCTATTCTCTTTCATTTATAATGTTGACATAAACAACATACCTACGTGAATTGGTTTTTGAGAACTCATTCCAGAGACATCTAACAGATAAACGTTACACTTTGTCTCATTCAGGATGGGCGAATGATAAAAAGTAAACACAAACATCGCACTAATATCATACAAATGAGTAATTATAAGTGATCTTCCGGCGATCACTAAGAGTCCTTATTGAGGACTCAAGTTCATCCTTGTAAATTATGACATTTCTATAGATCACTTAGTCTTGGTAGGCAAGGTGTCAGACTCTAGAGAAAATATGTTTTACGTAACTTTGGTTGAACTTTCTTTTCCTCAGTTTGGTGAGTTCCTTAGTCATGGTGAGTTTAGAAGATAATGACGACAAAATATAAGCTAGTCATGAAGACGGTATTAGTTATTCATTCAATGTAGGGCCCGTGAATGAAAAAATGTTGATTAATCGAATATTTACTGCATCTTATTGAAAGTTGTCGAAAAATATCACTTTCAATCTACGTAACACTAGCCACAGTAACTGATTGAATAACTTATAGCAAATCAGTTGTGAATAAAATCATCTGAATTGAAATTATATACTCAACCAAATTGATTTGTGCTCTGTGACAATTCTGATATCATTTACAGGGAGACGTCTTTCCTTTTATTCCTATTGGGAACTCTTGGATTGGGAGGAGTTTTGTATGCCATGTCAGCTCAAAATAAGTGGTTGACATATTTAGCAATAACCGTGTTTGGGTGAGTATCAACATGGATAACAAACTATAAAACATGATATGAGTATGACTAAGTGAGAGAGATGGCTGAATATAATATCGAGATTTGTCTTTTCTCAAATATTGAAATTTGAAGAGTTTGTTTTGTAAACTGTCTTCTAGACAGTTCAAAAAACAATATATTTCGGGTAAGTCACTGAATGATCAATTACAATTGAATAACTCTCCGTTACCAAATATTTTTTTAAATGTGAAAACTGGGACATAAGCTCAGGTAATTTGATGCATTACAAACTTAGGTCAAGATCAGATACTTGAAATGTAGGTAAAAATTGTAGAATGAGGTATATGTAGCATTGAATATGTAGAATTAGTTAGTAAAGACACGTCCGAAGAAGCCATGGTATGGCTAAAAACGTGTTGCGTTTTTGTAAAATTGTTTGGTGAAAATCTCACAATAAAGTGATTTTTGAATACGTTAGTTAAAGATTTTCATCAAGTATCGGTCAATTGTATCACACATCATATAAGTTAGGTTTAAATAAGCGATTTGTTACTTCAAGAACTGTAGCAAATTTCAACCGAATCGGTGTAAGGATATATATAACATTTTATAAATACCGTTTCTATTTCAAACTTCAACGCCTTGTATCTCAGAAACGAAGCAACTTCAGACATATGTAGGTGGAAACTTTCTTTCTTAAAATGACCTAACGAATCACCCTCTGAAGTTCAGTACCGTAGTTAGGAAACACCCATACTTTAACTTCCATATATAATGGTATTAGTGTAACAATTTGTGTTTTTCTATATTTTAGTATAATTGACTTTTCCCATGATGTAGAGTCTCTGGAAATGAACCTGATTTGTTTTAATTATGTAAAATGATGATTCGTCTAGATGCATCAGCTGTAGTCTTAGTCATCTCCTGATTATGCCAATGTGATTAGTGAAACGCCCGTAGATAGAAAGTTTATTTGTTGTGATGTGTAAAAGTGTTTTCAATAGACCCATTTCACACCAGCTCCAGCGGTTCCAAATTCTACCTATCAAAATAAACGATTCGATTCATTTTTCATTTCATTGATTAGTTAAGAGGCCGTGGGAGCTCGTAACTAAATTATTATCTGTCAACGATATTTTCATCTCTCTTGCTTTACTCTCTCTAGCCAAAATAATCAAAGACGCACGTCCCTGCTGGAGGGTAGCGGAAGTAAGCACTCGAAATAAGTGCGACTTGGCAACGCTGCGCTGGTGAAGTCATAGACAAGGGTTCATTCGTTTCTCACTGGCGGAGCCAGAGATCGCAGTGGCAGTGTGCGTTAAAAATTGAAAGTATGAAATTGATGTGCAAAATTTCAATCTTATTTTAGGTTTCCCTTGTTTGTTGAGTTTGTGATTCCAAAGAATGTAGCTTTGTGAAAAAAGATTAAATTTCTATTTTTTATCAGAATGGGTTTGTGAAATTAATATATTTGATGCATTTTATGCTTGGCCATTCTTCTAGAATAGCTATCTATGTAAAGAGTTACGAAAAATATCGAATCTATGCTATTCATCACATAACTTGTCACTTTGGCGTCTTCTATACATTCATTTTGCTTCATTTACTTTGAGTGATTTCATAGAGGCAGAAGAGATAGAGTATTGACTGATAATATTTCTGAATGGAAATTTGTTCTTGTGTTGTGTGATTTCCGAGTTGAAATGTATAATAAAATCACTGAACCGAGATAAGAATTAGCGAACGATATAAAAATATAGTTATAATAGACGCATTCGGTAATCATTTACAAAAAATAAAACAAGTCGTGATTGTTTACGAAAAGTGGGGCGTTTTTTTTTTCGTTAATTTCATAAATATATTTTTTATATTATTCGGTAAAAATTGAATCAATTTTCAAATATAAGTGTTAGCGAAATTATGTACTACAGATGAAATATTTAAATATTTTGAATTAGCCGAGATTCAGTACAGAAAAACTTTTGAATGAAATGGAAGATTCTATTTTGAAAAACAGGTTATTGTTTTATAATGAGTATACATAAATCGATAAATGTTTACTCAAATGATGAAATGGCACGTCGAATGTAAAAAAAAGATTCTTTTGATTTATTGAACAGAGCTTATGCTTCTGTAATTCGTTCTATGTTCAATTACAGGATTTTCCTGAGCGGTTATTTGCCAGCAGGAGTGGAATTTGGGACGGAAATAACATATCCTTCACCTGAGAGTACAGTGATGGGAATTCTATATGCCACATCGCAGATTATAACTGTCGTTCTTACCATTATATTTGGAAAGATAATAGCAAAATTTGGAGCATTTTGGGCTCTCACTGGGATGATTATCACTATGGCAGTGGGTACTACTCTGACATTAATGACGCCAAATAATCTGAAGAGGCAAAAATATTTTATAAGTAAAAACAGTGTTGAATTCACGCAGCTCTCCCAGCAGGATAACAAAAATTATGTACAAAGAATAGTGTGACATGGAAATGTATGTACGTGGTATCAAACTACTACTAGTAGTAGATATCATTATTATTATTATATTGACAGATGAAAAAATAAATATTTTCTATTTGATGAAAAATGCATGATTATTTAAGACTTTTCCACGTGAAAATGATAATGTTGAAAATATAGGTGTACATTGAGAAAAATATATGGAGTCACAATCAAGGTGATTCCAATAAAAAACTTATTTCAATAAAAAACATCCGGATTCAGAAAGGGCGTATAACAAGAAAACATATATAATCAGACTAAGTGAGAGGTGTGCTTTTATCACCCCGTAATAACTTATGATAAGAAATAGTGGGCCGAATAAGATCTAGAAAACTATGTACATGTTCACTCAATTACGTTTCAGAGAGTCAGATATAATACAATGTCTGTCGTAGTATTAGCTAGAAAAGTTGTTGTTTCACGGCATATATTTGAGATATCCCACAATATGAAATATTAGGGGAGGTGGATGTTCTGAATGTCAAATGAAAATACTTATATTTTGATATATGTACTTCTTTTCGAAATAATCATCGTTCTAATTTGATTTCTACTTGATAGCATTCATTTGACACATTCCTACATCCATTTATTTCTGCTGAACATAATTTGTTCTCATATTTTTCGTGTATAATATCATGTTATGATTAGGTCTGACCCAATTGAAAGAGAAAGGCATGCACCCAGAGATGTCAATCCCTGACACTTCAATGTGGCCATCGAATTTCCTCTATATGGATTAGATATGACCAATTTTTTCGAGGGCAAAACACAAGCACTACAGGAAAATACTTAAGGCGCTCTCAGAGCGGTGCCTGTGCGAAAGTAGAGATTCACATTGGAATATGCAGCAGTATATGTGACTCCTTGTCGTTACAATCTATATGCACTTTCAAATCACAGTGAGTCTACTCACAGCGGATATACAGTACACAACATACTACAGACATCCCTACACTGGCACGTGGCATAAATACTATGATTCACACGTGTCACCAATTTCACCGAAATCGCTTGTGAGTGAGGATGCGTACATACTCTTTTGTGGAAAGGAAAGGAGTTAATGAATTTGCATCATTGAGCGTGCTGATATGTTATTTTCGAACTGGTAATTTTAATGTTATATATATTGTATGATACATATATTGTATGATATATCCAAATTGCTCATGTGGAAAAATTGGTACGTTAGATCATATATTCATTACCGGATATCCAATGATATATACAGATTGCACTACTGTAATAATTAAGGAAAGTGCTATGAAATGAATCCATTGAGTCAGAAGTATACTCATCACTATGCTGAAATAGCAAAGTCCTTAATTATTCACAATAAAATTTTAGAGTGAATCATAGCTTAATAATCAGAACAAAAATATAACCAATATTACTGGAGTAAAGCTATATAGTAAGGTAATGGTCCACCATTGTTATTCATAATATTATTATGTTTACTTATTTCTAAGCTCCCATAGACATCTAGATGCCTGTTGTTGTTAACTTGTCCAACTAATCTTGATGAATTGAAGTTTATGGAACGATTTTGTTGCAAAACATGACGGGCGACTGCTGATTTTTCTGGTCTTCCATATTTTAGGTGTGCTAAGTGTCCTTTGGACTTTTTATAGGCTCTGTACTGTATGACTTGTTTTAAATACCACATTCATACCTAGTTCCTTGAAAATCTTACCTTTAAAGTTTCTAGTTATCTTCTTTTGACGTTTTCTCTCACATTTGAGAGGTTTACAAAAAAGATAACAATACATGAAATAACAGTCAGTAACGGTTTTTCGATGGATAGATGATATTATAAGGAAGAAAAAGTTCAGGTTAAGAATGAACGAAATCTCTACTTTTAGAAACGACAAAAACCATGATGAATGTATCTCAGTTCCATCAAAGGAACTAGGTATGAAAGTGATATTTGAAATAAGTCATACACTAAGAGCCTTTCAGAAATTCCAAAGGACAACTTCGAGAATTCGGAAAAGTCTGGAATTCACGAAAATAAATGAGATGACAGCAATGCAAAATAATATGGAAAGACAAAAAATAATAAAATAAGATATAAGGAATATTTGGCATACCTAAAATATGGAAGACCAGAAAAATCAGCAGTCGCTCAACATGTTTTGCAACAAATTCATTTCATAGACTTTCATTGACATAGTTCATTAAGAATAGTTAGACAAGTTAACAACAAGAGGCATCTAGATTACTATGAGAGCTTAGAAATAAGTAACGATAATAATATTATGAATAACGATGAAGGACCATTACCTGATAGTTTACTATATGGCGATAGTGTGATTTGTGATTGAAACATTCGAAAACTTAGCTGGTACAGAAATTTTACGGATCAATATAGATAAAAACTTCCTGGAATTATCACATAGATAGTATAATATCCAAACTGAGTTCGTTCTGCTTTGATGCATAAAAAACTCCATGACATGGTGTCAGAAAAGGTCTTCAAACTATCGTTTTTTGAACTCGTACAATCAAATCTCTCATTCAGTATCAAAATTTGGGGTTGAACATAAGGTACTGGTCAACTCATCATTATACATATAAAATAATTATTCAATGCAGAAGTAACATATCAAAAACAGCACTCATCATGTAGGAACCACTTTGCAATTCTGGATATAATGACATTTCCAAGTCTTTCAAAATTACGACCACCAAACAAAAGTATATAGAAAAATGGCAGATCAGGTATTTTTGTGACAACAAAACATATATTTTTGTGAAAAATAGACACTCAGAAAAATTACTGCTCAATGTTAAAGTTAAGATTTTTGGTAGGTCCCGTTTGTCTCCAACAATAATCTGCTATCATTCCTGAACTCTATTTCCCTTGATAGCGCCTCTCCATTCAGAAAATGTTCTGATGAAACATCTCGTCTTGTTCGTCACCCACAGCAACCGATTTGGCAGGAAATACATCCAGATGAGAGTCCAGCAGGTGTACTTTCGAATATGAGTGTATTCATTGAGACGTTGTGATTTTTCACAGTATGGTCCTCTAAAAAATTCTGGAATACCTTCACGAAACATGTCCAAGCGGGATTTTCCTCATTCAGTTCTCATCTTCTATCAGTTCCTGTAAATACAAATATTTCCTTCCAATTTTTGTAGGTCATTTCCATATCAGAACCACGAGCAACTGCCGGGAGGAAAGTTTGTTTCCGTTATGCAGCAACACTGTTTTCAATCTAGTTATTGAGGAGTCAATGAACAATCGTCAGTGACTTGTATTTCATTCAAAATTTCATCAAATGATTACAACGGGAACGTTATTACATTAGCTGAGTCATCTGCTTTAGAGAAGTAAGACTCTCATATCATCGTCATGGTGTTGACGAAGATAGTAAATTCAAGACATTTAATCTAGACCCCAAAAGCTCAGCCAGTTTTTCAACATATTGAAATCACTTATTGAATCATTTGAATCTCCCAGTGTCAATGGATGGGGCTCCTTTGAAGTTGACAGTTCATAACCTGAGTCACTTTTCGAGATATCATGTGAAACTGACTGAGAACGAATTTTCGGTAGATTTGGAGGCCTCTCAACATTCGGCCGATGGCCGAAGATAAGTTTGGATACTGGATAGTATGTTTAGACTTGGTTGTGCTGTCTCACATTTTAATGAAATTGAAATAACAAAATACTGGCAGAGTTTCAGGTTCATGTTCAGCCCAGCCAATTTTTGGAGAGTTCAATATACCTGAAATAAATGGTAAAATCTTTAACTATCCAACTGCTAGTGAAAAACTTGCGATTTTGACTGATTTCAGGGATTTTAATACTTTTTAGTTATATAACGACATTTCTAATTTGCAGGGAAAATACTGGACCTCGTAATCACCTCTAAAGGTTCTTGTGGTGCACTGTTTGGAACCTTTGGTGTAGTAATGAATATTACTGGATTTTTTCCCAACACCAAACCATTATTTTAACACCTTGACGATGAAGATGATCACTTGTTGATCGAAACACTGTCGAGGTATTAAAATAAAGGTTTGGTGTTGGAAAAAAACTCCCGTAGTTTTCACCTCTGAAGGTAATAAAAATAATTGTAACTGGCAAAAGGATTTTTTATCATTTGTCGATGAGGATATTCATCATCCTGCCTTAGAAATCACTATAATAATTCAACGTGAAAAAGAACATATGAATGAAATATTAGATTCAAGCCAAACAAAAAGCCGATTTTCTTTTGCTAAGTGAACGAGTTCGAAATACTTGATTGGGATAGTGTATTGTACGAAAATACTGTGGATATGGCTGTAGATGAATTTTATATGCATGCCCTAATGTAAAAATATTCGAAATGGAAAAAAACCCATTTGGTTTGACAATGAGATCAAAGAATTATGGAAAAAAAATACATTCTGAAAATTACAACTATCACGGAACAAGATATGAAGAATTGAGGAAAAAATATGAAAACTTGATTAGATTGAAATCTAAAGAATACGTTACAAAGGTAGAGGATGAATTGAAAACCGATGTAAATCAATTCTGGAATTATGTCAATAAAAGTAAAAAATTGTCGACTTTGGGAAACTTTCGTTAAAAAAAATAATCAAGTAGAAGGCAATAATACAGCTGAGGTATTTGCAAATTATTTTCATCTGTTCATGAGACAATTAAATCCAGATATGACCCCAATTTTATAAATGATGCTGATATAGTTAACAATAAGAGAGTCAGATTTTGAAAACGCAGTGAAGAAATTGAATTCAATTAAAGCGGCTGGTGTTGATTGAATTTTCCCATACATTCTGAAAGCTTATGACGATTGGGTGAAAATACCACTTCTGCAAATATTCAACCTCACCATCAAGTCAAGTGTTTTCCCAGATTTGTAGAAAACTGCTATC